GCCACTAAGAATGAGTGGGTCAAACAACAAGTCATAGAAATGATCAATAATTTTATCAAAGAGAACAACAAAAATGAGACAACATACTAAAACTTAGGTGATATAAGCAACACAGTTCTTAGGGGAAATTTTATATATCTAAATGATTACAATGAATACAATAGAGAAAGAACAGATCAATGAATCGGGCATGTAACTAAAAAAGCTAGAAAAAGAATATATTAAAAATCTATAAATACAAAATTAGAAATTCTGAAAATCAAAGGTGAGATTAATTAAATTGAAAGGAAGAAAACTATTGAAAGAATGCATAAAACTAAGAGCTGGTTTTATGAAAAGACCAATAAAATAGTAAAACTTTTGATTATTTTGATAAAAAAAAAAAGCAAACCATACTACAAGTATCAAAAATGAAAGGGGTTAATTCACCACCAACGAAGTGGAAATTAAAACAATACTTAGGCACTATTTCGCCCAACTGTATGCCAATAAATCTCACAATCTTGTGAAATGGATGAATTACCAAAAAAATAGAAATTGCCCAGATTAACCAAACAAGAAATAAAGTACTTAAAATAATCCCATTTTAGAAAAAAAAGAAATTCAATAAGCCATCAATGAACTCCCAATGAAAAATTCTCCAAGGCCAGATAGATTTACAAGTGAATTCTACCAAACATTTAAAGTACAATTAATTCCAATAAAATATAATCAACTTGGAAAAATAAGAGAAGGAGCCCTACCAAATTCCTTTTATGGTACAAATATGGTGCTGATACATAAACCAGGAAAAGCCAAAACAGAGAAAGAAAATTATAAACCAATTTCCTTAATAATTTTGTTGCAAAAATTTAGATGAAATATTAGCAAATAGAGGGGGGAGGGAAGGGAGGAAGGGAGAAAAATTTGGAGTTCAAAATTTTACAAAAATGAATTTTGAAAACTCTCTTTACATGTAATTGGAAAAAGAATAAAATACTACTATGGGGAAAAAGAGGGAAAAATAAAAATTAAAACACTATTTGAGTGCAAGTTGCTACTGTTAGTAACAAAAGAAGATAAAATACGAAAGAATTAAATGACTAAAAATTCCTATATTTTGCTCATTTCAACAAATTTCAAATTATCGTAACCATGTATGTAGGTGCTGAAACAACCACTTTCATTTTATTGCTGATCTTACTCTTTCTTTTTTATTTTGAGCAATAAAATATTAGAAACATAAAGCTTAAGCTAGAAGAGATCTCAGAGGCTATCCATTCCAACACCATTATTTTAGAAATGAGAAAAATGCAGCTGAGGAATGTCAAGTGACTTCTCCACATTCATTCAGGGAGTATGAGGGGTAGGATTTGAACCCAGTTTCTCTGACTTCAATCTATGTTCTTTCCACTAGAGTGTGCTTGCTTCTCTTAATTTAAAATATTAAGTATAATAGGATATTTTCCAGCTGCTAGGTACATAACATTCTATCTTCAGCCTTACTCTGTGAAACAGACTACGAAAGTAGTGGCCATATAGATCTAATTCCAATTAGAAGCTGAAAACTTAGATTAGATAGCAGCTTTTAGGTTTGTTTTCTTAGACTTATATATATAAGAAGCAGTTCAAAGAGTTCTCAAAATGCCAAAGAGGAATATAATTTTCTGAATAACATAATACAGATGGGTTTCAATATTCCTGGAAACTCTTGGTAAGAGGACAGCGTTGGTAGTGAGGGTGATAGAACAGACAAAAGTATCATGTCTATGTCTTATTTCATTGGAAAATAATTTGACTGAAAAATTAGTTAACTGGTATCTAAAAGATAGGACCACAAAATCCCTTTCACATTTCAAAAAGATTGTCTTATTCTATATATCACAAAAAATTTCTTAACAACTCATTGGTTTTGGGGGGGGAGGTGTAAATATGAGGATTGATTGGAAAGCAAAATGACTTATTTTTTAAGAAAAAATCTAGGTGAGGTTAGAGTCTGCTTTACTGTAAATTAGAGTATGTCTCTTTAGCTTGCATGGATTATTATTTTAAGTAGGTTAGACATATTTTCAATTCTTCTGCAATCGAGTGAAGGGTTATTTATGACCTAAGGGATTTACAAATTATGAATTAAAGTTTTGCTTGCACTTATGGAGACAAATCATAGAAGTGTTTGAAATGATAAATGTACAATTAAAAAGGCGGTTTGTTTGTCATGCTGTAGACTAGTATTTATGTGATATAAAATATTTTATGAGGGAATTAGACAACAGAACATGAACATCACTGAAGATGACTGGCCATTCTTATTCATGATCTGAATAAAAAAATGCTTCCAATCAATGATATTTAAAAAAATGAGGTAGCACAGAAACATGGTGTTTTGGAAGAGATAGAATTTCAGGGGGCATTTCAAACCCTTCACTTCATGTTTGTAAATAGAAACAAAAGGAAACAGATTCAAAGAGATGAAGGATTTAGTTAGTGGCAGAGTCAGGAGGAGAACACATGGTCCTAAATCCTGCCTTCCTTATTTATCTACACTACAGCATTGTCTCTGTTGAGAAGGTTATCTTTTACTTATTGGTGTTTGTCATTCAGTGGTTCATGGTGTTATCCGTGATGATGTTAAAGAAGATGACATTACACAATTAAATGTATGGTTGCACAAAAAGTAAACTGCATATCAATTTTTAGAAAGCAGGAAAAAAAGACTTTTTGAATCCTATGTTTTGGATAATTTATGGCTTTTCTACCATAATACTGAATTAAAATATCAAAGTAACCAGAAGAAATAACTAGGGAGTGCTCAACCCCAGAACATCATTTTTTGTCAAAGTACCAGAAAACTCATTTCTGAGGTTTTTTTCTTTTACAAAATTGGGGTTATTCACAATTAATGTGTACAAAAGAATGTAAGACATAATGGCAAGAAAGCAAGATGTTGGGTTCCAGGTAAGTAAAAATGACTATCAGGCCCCTGGACCAGGGCTCATTTTTAATATAAATGTTTGGTTCCCTTTGACAATATGATTTGTGTGAAAATTTGTATGCAAACGGTGCACTATTAGTAAATCTCAAGGGAAAAAAAGTCCTCACTTTATTATTACTCTAAGCTTCACCCCAAAACAATGAAGATTTGAGGTTTATGGCAATAGTTCACTCACTCCTCAAGTTCAAAAGAAGTGAGAGATGCTACACTTACCTATCAAATAATGAACTTTACCAATTTTTTGATGAACACAAAATAAAGTGGAACAAATAAATGTCTTACACCAGAAGATGAGTATTTGAAGGAAAGCAAATATATTTTATACTAGCAAATCATTAAAATTAACTTTTCTTATTCCTATCCCTAGTTCTTTTAACCTTTTAAACTTCTAACATTAATACATTTATGTATACACTAGATTTTGGCTTGTATAGAAAATGTTATTAGTTACTATATAATTCATAAAGTCAGTGTCGACATTCAGATATCTGCTTGAACATATTTATGAACAGTTCTATCACTAATAAGCCATACTCTTTGATTGTCTTTATATTTAATTCAGTGTTCTAGACTATAACTTTTTCTTGATTGATAAACTTCATAGACACTCCTTCTTCAATGAGATTGCATAGTTTAACTATTTTTATTAAAATTGGATTAGGACTTTTAAAAAATTTTGTGCTTAAAATTTTATATATAGTTAACATGATAAAATACTACTTGTGAGGAACAGAACTTCACTTTTTTAGTCTTAAATGTTTCTCATACTAATTTCATGTATGTAGCCAGAGACATACTATTTTACAAATGAATAAAATGAGGAAATGTGAGTTTCAGTTGTCACCTGACTAGCTATAGGAAATTAAAATATTTTATTGGAAAAGGAAGGTTTTTTTTTAGATAGTAGTAAGACATATTTAAAATTAAATATTTTTTTTCTGTGATTGTGATTTATCATTTCTACTAAGGAAGGGTTTATATATGTCATCTCAACTATTTCCTTTTACCTCTGTTAGCATGAGCAAGTCATCTAAGCTTTCTGCTCCTCAGTTTTGTCACCATTCAAATGAGAGTAACCAGAATATCCACACTGCCTTTCTCACATGGTAAAGGGTCAACTGATTTGAAAAAAGTAATCTTACAAATGTGAGATGAATTTATTATTACAAGCCCAAGTCATTAAGATTCCAAATTGCCCAACTGGTAGGATTAAATGTTTGGAGTTAAGTCAGAAAATCTTCTCTCTTCTAAAGTTTAACTGCCTGTATCAGGAGGTTGGAAAGTCTTCCTAGAATCATGGTGGAGGTGGGCATGTATGCAAATATCAACCAAAAATCGAGGAACATATACGCATTACCTTTCAAACCTTTGTCACCTAGTACTCCTAACTCTTGTGGCTTTTGTATGCTCTTTATTATCTGTGAAGCAAAAGTTTTACGAACATTTTAAAAATTTTGGAAACATTTTATATGTATATACCTCAAAATCTTGGATAAGTGATTTACACAGAGTTCCAAAAAAAGAACAAGGGCTCTGTTCTCCCACTGTTTTACTGTTCTGTCTTTATATATTCAAATATTAGATCAGTCCATCTGTTCATTTGTACATGTACACACACTATAGTTATAAGAGGCTCTTATATGTAGTACTTATTTTTCTCATATTTAAGAATCATAAATAATATTGCTAAATATAATACATTTTAAAAGTGTTCAAAAATTTTCATATGATTTGGTTAAACACATTTAGAAGAGTGTAGAAATTTGAAATTGGTAATGTAGCCTACGTAAAGAAATTTTTGGATAAAGCAGATAATAATAACACAAAACACCTCAGGCTGTTTTTAGGATGTTTTTAGTAACCAGTTTCAACATAGTGAACCTACAAGGATAATTAAGTAACTAAACATAAACCAGTCCCTATCTTTTTAAAGTATCAAATGGAAATTTTAAAAAAGTATATATGAATTTTAAGATTGCTCTTTCAATATTTTTTAAGTTAACTACTTCTTAAGGTTTGTCAGTCCTACCTTCTCGGTCCATGGCAGGTCTACCCAAAGTAAATTCTGTATCAGAAGCCCTCTCTGAACTGCCGATTTGGGGTGAAAGGGGCTGATTAAGTGCCTTCTGTAGTGCATACTGATTAATTAGTTGGAGATGACTATGTATAAAATAAAACATAAAACCTAATAAGTCTACATCAACAAAGACAAAAAGTATATGCATCAAGTCTTAGCATATCTCAAACTTTAAATAATCAACAAAATGTTTTTATTATTTTGATGAAGTCTGTAGAGCATAAGTAACCATTCAGTCTAGATGTAATACACTTGTATTGAAAGTCACAGTATTATAGAATTGTAGATTCAGAGCTGAAAGATTCTATATAGGTCATCTAGTCCAATCTCTTTATTTTATAGATTAAGTAACTGAGTCCCAGAAAAGGTAACAGTTGTCCAAGGTTACATATGTAGTAAGAGGCATGATTTCTCTTCAGGTCCTCTGACTCCAAATCAAACATTCTTTCCTCTGTACTAAACTGTCATTCTGAAAATTCTAATGTTGACTATTAGTATTTATGACTTATTCTTTTGAGTTATCATTCATTTGAAGGCATGCAAGACATAATGTGTCCCTAAAACTAATTATAGGTCTACTATAATTGAGAGGTGTCAGCCAAGATTAAAAAGCAAACAAACAAAAAAAGGAAACATTGGAAAACCTTAAGAACTATAAAAATGGCAACTATTATTATCATTATTATTACATCTGAAAATACCAATCTCAAATTACCTGACTCTACCTTATACCCTGTCTCTTGCTTACATCCTCCTGTGTTTGGAGGACCTAACTTTACCATTTGCCCACTTTCTTCTTAATGCTTTGAAGTATGCTTGCCAGATGCTTGCTATATTATGCAGCTACAGAGAAGTCCCAGGTAGTTTCAGTTGTATGGAGGAAAAAAGTTTTTAAATGCAATTTTAAAAAATTAGAACTATAATGTTAGTACTTACATGGAATAACCGCTTAAAATAGCATATTCCTCAGCTTTCCATCCATATGTATCTTGGCAAGAGAGATCAATATCATATTGAAGAAGAAGACTGACTATGCCTGTTGGTTCACCACTGCTAGCAATCATCAGGGCTGTTCTAGTATAACGAAGAAACAATTCACATTTAAGATTTTAATTAGTCACATTTAATCAGATGTTTCTTAATATGTTTCAATAAGAGGATATCTCATATTCTTTAGAGTTAGTATGTATGTGGAGCATGAATACTTAGTGATGGATACAAGTACTTTTATTGCTCATATACAGTATCTAAAAAGGCAATTAAGAGCCGAATGAAAAATAGTGGGTTTTTTTTGTCCTCAGAGTTATTGCAGGAATTGTCAAATTTAAGGCTTTGTAATAGACAAGAAGAGAGTATGTCAAAGTCACTTTTATACAATAGTTAAGGACTTTCAGCTAGGAACCCTACACAAAGTTTCTACTTGTTTACTGGCCTTCAAAGAAAAGTAGAGACCCTTAGAAAATGATTAGATTAGAAATAATCTTGGCAACTCACTCCACTAAATTCCTACTCCAATGTCACTTCATAATGTGAAGCTGACCCTTGGTTGTCAAAGGCTAATCCAGAACAAGCTATTTTAATGTCTTAATAAACATGAAAGTCTTTGAACACAAATACAGCAATGAACTCTGTTGTTTAAGGACAACCTAAGTAAGTAAAGAAAGGTTCATCACCAGAAAGCTAGCACTACTTAATTTGGGGAAGGTATTAATCCGTGAAGGCAGTTTATTAAGATTTAGCGTGATTATGAGCCGCACCAGGAGAAGAAATATCCACAATGATGATAACACAAATATTCTGAAGTACTGAGTTGATTGTATGCTGAAAATTCATGGGCTTTTTGCTTAAGGTAGTACTGTAGCAATATCAATAATGTCACGTAAAGGTTTGCTGTCCCTTGATTACTCTGTTAAAGGTAGAATTAGTGTAAAGAGCATCATGACTCGTGAAATCATGGATATTTTTAAGGTATTTTGAAGTATATAATAAGCTCTTTCTAGCAGGTAGCAATGTTTACTCTGTGTGAAGCTTTTTCTCTGAACTGCTCCCTCCCACAGCAAACCAAAGAAAACCCACAAGGAACCAGGGAAGTATATTTGGGTGGAAAATAAGGGATTATGAGAAAAATTGAAACCGATGGAGTCATAAACTTTGGTATTAATAGTTAATGTTATCATATGTATTAAAATGTTCATTTTTGGTTTTTTTAAGTAAACATTTAGTTCTGGGAACCAAGATGGTGGAATAAGCAATAAATTGCCATAACTCTCTCATATTCACCTCAAAACAACCACAAAATAGCACCCCCAAACAAATCCTGAAACAGCAAAAACATGGGCGAAACAATCTTTGAGCCCAAGAAACTTGAAAGATAGGCAGGTAAGGTTTGTCTCACTCGGGTAAAAGGGGAGCACAGTCCAGGACAGGAAGCCAGTAGCAAACCCCATCTCATCAAACCAATAGTAGATTGTGAGCCCCAATGTGGTGGAGCAGGCCACCAATCCTAGAACACCCCATGTACTGAGGCATAGCCAGGGGAATGGGCAGAGTGCAGCTCTAAGAACTGCCACAGGTTTCAGGGTAGCTGCAGGCAAACAGGTAGACTCCATCCCTACAGGTACTTAAAAAGGCAGCCATGAGTGACCATAATGACAAGTGTTTCAGTGTATCCCCAGGGAAATACAAAAACACTCCACTGGCTTCAGCACATGCCAGACACCAGCACTAGGACCCCAGGTGAGCACCAGGTAAGCTGCAGACTCCTACAACCTACAGCAGCACCAGCCACCACCACTCCCTTCTCCTCAGCACAGCACCAGATAAGAGGGTCTCCTATGGGCCTCAGCACAACATTGGTGCAGCACCAGGTAAACAACCAGGGCCTATAGCCCCTCCCACAAGAAGCCTGAAACAGTGTCCTTTCACCCTGGGAGCAGACCTCAAATTGAAAAGAAAGGAAAAAGGACAAAAAGGGTGAGCCAAAAATAATCTGATTGTAGAAAGTTATTATGATCACAGAGAATATCAAGACAAAAATTCAGAGGAGGACAACAATGTCAAAACACCCATGGGCAAAATATTGCAAGCAGCCAGAAAGAAACAATTCAAGTAGTGGGGGAAAACAATCAGGATAACATGAGATTTAGCATCTTCCACATTAAGGGACCACAAGGCTGGGAATATGATATTCTGGAGTTCAAAGGAGGTAGGATTAAAGCCAAAAATCACCTACCCAGCAAAATTGAATATAATCCTTCAAGGGAAAAAATGGATATTCAGTGAAATAGAGGACTTTCAAGCATTTTTGATGAAAACAGAGCTGAATAGGAAATTTGACTTTCAAATACAAGCTCAAGAGGACCATGAAAAGATAAACAGGAAAGAGAAACCATAGGGGACTTGTTAAAGTTGAACTGTTTACATTTCTACATGGAAAGATGATATTTGTAACTCATGAGAACTTTCTCAGTATTAGGGTAGTTGAAGGGGAAAAATATGAAGAGAGAGACAGAGAGAGAGAGATTGAAATAGACAGAGGGCAAATGATGAGTTGAAGATGAAGGGGTGATATCTAAAAAAATAAAATTAACATGTAAGAGAGGATTATACTGGGAGAAGGAGAAAGGGAAAGGTTCAATGGGGTAAATTGTCTCTCATAACGCAAACAAGAAAAAGCTTTAGAGTGGAGTGGAAATAGGGAAGGTAAGAAGGAATGAGTGAATCCTACTTGCATCCGATTTGGCTTAAGGAAGGAATCATATACACACTCAATTGGGCATGGAAATCTATCTTACCCTACAGGAAAATAGGGGAAGGAGATAAGAGAGTGGGGGATGGTAGAAGGGAGGGCTGATTGGGGGAAGAGGTAATCAGAAGCAAACACTTTTGAGGAGGGACAGGGTCAAAGGAGAGAAAAGAATAAATGGGAAATACGATAGGATAAAGGGAAATATAGTTAGTTTTTCACAACATGACTATTATGGAAGTGTTTTGCATGATACATGTATAACCTATATCAAGCTGCATGCCTTCTCAATGAGGATGGGTGGGGAGGGAGGAAAGGAGAAAATTTTGAACCCAAAGTTTTAAAACAAATGTTAAAAATTATTTTTAGGGGGCAGCTAGATGGCGCAGTGGATAGAGCACTGGCCTTGGATTCAGGAGGACCTGAGTTCAAATCCAGCTTCAGACACATAACACTTACTAGCTGTATGACCTTGGGCAAGTCACTTAACCCCATTGCTTATCCTTTAAAAAAAATTAAAAAATAAAATAAAATAAAATTATATTTACATGCAACTGGGAAATAACATAAACAGGCAATGGGGTATAGAAATCTATCCTGCCCTACAGGAAAATCAAAAGGGAAGGGGATAAGAGAAAGGGGATGGGGGTAATAGAAAGAAGAGCAGATAAGGGGAAGTGGCATTCAGAACACACAACATCGTGGGGGTGGGTGAGGGGAGAGATGGGAAGAAAATTTGGAACTCAAAGTCTTGTGGAAGTGAATGTTGAAAAACAAAACTAAATAAAATTAATTAATTTTTTTACAAAACTGCAAAAAAAATCTGAACCAGTGGCATAAATATCCACAATGATAAGATCACAGGTCTGTCAAAGCATTTCATCATATTATTCTGATATTGATTTGTATTTGTCAATGAAGATATTCTTAAGGATAATCAAAGGTAGAAGGAGAAGAAAAAACTACAATTCTCATGGATGACATGAAGATTAGTTCATAAAAAGAATCAGTTGAATCAATAGAGTACAAAACTTTTATGTTATAATCTTAACTAACTTAAAATAAAATAGTGAAAACTATTATTAAAACTATTATATAAAAACTATTATTAAAATCAAATAGTGAAAACTATTAATGATGGTTAGCATGCCTACATGAAATAATTTCTTTATTGAAAAGTCATGAGGTTTTTTTTTCACATTTGATTTTGGGGACATTTTTCACCCTTTCACAATGATAGTCAATTTCAATTATTGTTGTTCACTAAGTATTCCATGATTTAAGTTGTTCTTATTCCTCTAGAAACTTTTCCCTTTTTTAATTTCAAGCTTTAATTACTGTACCTTTTAAACCTATCCGAGGCATTCACATTTGCTCCATTCTTTAAGAAAAAATCTACCATATCTTGGTTATTTTCTGTAACTGCAAGCAAAAGTGGTGTATAGCCTTCCTGCAAAATCATATTAAAATATTGTTACAGTATGCAAGAATTCTATAAATACTTCAGTTCACCTTAAGGCACCTGTGAACTTGCTAATGACATGTTAAGGAAGTATAGTACAATGGAATTTTGGGGAAGACAAAGGCATAAATCCTGCTTCTGTTAGTTAATTCCTGCATAATCATAAGCAAATTACTTCACTTCTCTGGGCCTGAGTTTCTTCATATATAAAATAACAGAATGAAACTGAATAGCCTCTGGGATTCCTTCCAGCTATTAATTTGTGATTAGGACATCAGAAACTCAGGATTTGTAAGACTTTAATATTATTTCAGGAGTGTCTTCCTTTCTTACCATCTTCATGTCATGATCAATTATTGTCTTCATGCAGCCAACCTTATTTCCCCAGTACTCTGCCAAGCTAAAGATATACTCTAGTCAGTTTTAAAGTTGCCTGGTTCTTAAAAAAAAAAAGTTGTCTAGTTCTCTTTACACTTTCCCCTCGAGTGTGTATAACCAACCTCAAAAGTGAAGAAAATCTTGACTCAAGGTGGTTAAACCTAGAAGTAAGTCATTCTCCTAGCATTTTCCCTCTCTTCCCAGCCCTACTAATGTGTACTTTATGTTTTTTGTCTTTCAAGTGGCAGTGACTAAGAATTAAACCATTTCTTAAAAATCAGGATTTATTCAGTAGCTTTAGAAAGGAAATAGTATAGTCTTTAGGAAATAGAAAAAAAATATGCTTAATAATTTGTTCTTGTGAAAATTCTGTGTCTGGTTTTATATCTAGTAAGAACAAATTTTTAAAAGATTTTTTTAAAAAAATTTGTCATTTCTACATGACAAATTAACATTGTGTTATCACATGTAAAGGTCTATATGTACAAAAGTACTGTAGGCAAACATTGGGTGGAACCATTGCATTCTGGGAAGCAGACTAACATATCATACAAAGAAAATTGTAGCGAGACAACTGCCATGGAATGGAGAGAGAGCTAGCCTCAAAGTCAGTAAGACTTAGATTCAAAGCCTGCCGCTGACCCACATATGCTGGGAGGGTGACCCTGGGAAGTCACTTAACATTTTGGTACAACATGACATTCCCTAAGACAGGGTCTCTTATCTTATTTTGTGTCATAGACCCCTTTCCAGAAAAAGTTTTTAAATGCCTGAAATATAGAGAATGTAAAAGATACCAATTACATTGAAATAACTATCAAGTTATTATTGTTATTTTAAAAGTTAATGTATCCTGTATTAACAATCCCTAGTCTAAGATTAAAAATTGTAGAGCAGGCCGTGGTCTAATTCAGTAAAGGAAAGTTCCGCATTAGGAAGTTCAATGTGAGTGAAATCTCCTCTCTTATTCCTTGGATCTGCCCCCCCCATTAGAAGATGCCAAAGGTCAATGAACTTTGACTACAGAATTATTTTGAGTTATTTTCATTAAAGAAATGCTTCCATGAACATATGAATTATAAAATATGTGATTTGGACACTACCTGATTACACATTGTATCTCATAAAATACTTTAATATACAAGAAATGGCCTTCTACCTTGTTTTTTGCTTCCATATCTGCTTTATGTCTCAGCAGCTTTGCTGCTATGGCTGTGTTCTGTCCAGAGGCAGCGTAGTGAAGTGCAGCGTTGTTGCTGGCATCCACAAGATTAGGATCTGCACCATGTTCAAGCAGGATAGTTGCACACTCCTCCTGCTGACACTCTACTGCCTGTCAATATAATATAGAGAAAGAGACAATAAATACTCTAAGATAAAATTTAGTATGCTGAAACATCATTAGTGACATTTAAATAAGTTAGTAAAGCGTATATACTTAATCAAAGAGTCGAAACACATTACATTGACCAGCATGGTTAACTAATACATACCTTAATTAAAGGTGTTTGGCTGTCATTGTCTCGCAGGTTTAGTTTGCATTTTCTCTCTACTAACAGAGAAACAACATCTGGATATCCATTAGCACAGGCCAGGTGTAGAGGCGTCCTGTGGAAATGAGAGATCTATGTGATTGCTTGATAATGTACCACAACAATCAAAATTGTACAATTATTAGTTAGTATAATTTCTAACATAAAATGAATTATTATTCTTGTGCCTGAACTCTAAATCAGTGCCAAAATAAATATAAGTGGCCACTATTGTCATCCGAGGAAATATAAAATATACTTTAGCTCTTATTGCTGGATATAATGGACAAAATTGTCAGGGGGAAAATTACAGCAGTTTGATTAAGATTTCACCACAGATTGACATGGAAACTCTGCTCAGTTTCTGATCTGGGCTGGTTCACTCTCCCTTGGCGACTTGATGACCCCTTGTATTTTGGAAATCACCATACTGATGCCAGACTTAGTGCAGACTAGAACTCGACTGGCATAGCCCACCAGCGCAGAACTCATGAGTTCAAGAGATGTGCCAGCCTCAGGCTCACTGGTAGCTGGCATTACAGGTGTGCATCACCCTGCTTGGCTGTTAGACCTAATAACAACTTCTTTCCACTAATATCCATAATTATAAAACATTTAGTAAAGCAGCTGCCTCAGAAAAAACATTTGCATATTTGCATATTGTGTATTTGTATAAGCACATGTGCACATGAGTGTGCATTCTCCACCTAAATTTTACTGCAATGTAGCATTGGACAGTTGAAGTGGATCTGTGCTGGTAGAGGCTATCCCAGCTGGGTGCAAGCTTTGGTAGTTCTACCATGTTGGCAAGATTTGAAGAAAGAGCCTGGTACTTTTGCTGTCCACAGACCAACCTAACTAAGCTCCTAAAGATATCATCAGATTGGTCAAAGGAGGAGGAATAGTTTATCAACAGCAAATCTCAAAGACTATCTTTGTTCTTTTCTTCTGTCATGTTTGACTCTTTGTGACCCTATATGGGTTTTTTTTGGTAGAGATACTAGAGTGCTTTGCCATTTCCTTCTCCAGCCCATTTTATTGATAAGGAAACTGAGACAAACAGGATTAAGTGACGTGCCCAGGGTCACAAAGCTAGTAAGAGTCTGAGGCCAGATTTGAATTCGCAAAGATAAGTCTTACTGACTCCAGGCCTGGCATTCAATCCATTGAACCACCTAGCTGTCCTGGCTAACCATCTACCAAGTTGTAAAGAGGTTATGATATGTATTTGTGGAGGGAATATCCATACCAACAAAATCATGTATTCCTGAAGCAATGAATGTGAATCTAAATATTCATATATATATACATTTTTCACTTTTTCTTATTCTTCAGGACTCCCCTTTTGCCTTTTCCCTCATGCCTTCTTCCAGAGTGCCTAAGGTAGGTGGAGGGGGAGAGATTTCTTCCATCCCCATCCTCCCAGCTGCCATGGTGATGTGCTTGGATGTAACCTAAGAAGGAAGGAAACTAGGATCTAACAAGTATCTACTGTGTCCCAGATACTGTGTAAGCACTTTACAAATATTATCTCATTTGATCCTTATAATAACCCTGGGAAGTAAGTGCTATTATTAGCCTCATTTCATGGTTGAGGAAACTGAGACAAACGGTGGTTAAGAAACTTGCTCAGGGCTCAGATTCTTAAAATCTAGCCACTATTCAGATTCTTATAATCTAGCCAATGAGCTCACTAATGTTCAGACTAATTAAGAGTCTGCACAATATGACAGATGTTCTAATAAACCTTGTCTTTGGCTGAAAGAAGGCTTGGGTTGAATTCTTTTGGGTAGAACCCACATGTTGTGATTTTGGGGTTCCAGCACCCCTAAACCTCAACATTTTGGTGACCTGTATGGGGAAACTGCCTAACCCCAAATTCTGCTCCAGCCAAGACTGGAAGGTCTGTAAACCTCTCTTTCTCCCTTTCTTTCTCTGCATTTGGGGTTGCTCTCCAAGCACCAAGGCTTGGAGGTGAATATCGGGCAGGTAGTTATGAAGTTGTCTTGCACTTGGCCTGACACTCTCAGATTCTCTGTCCACTGGTTTGGTTTCAGGCCATGCACCCGGTTACACCTTCTGCAGCATAGAGGACAAGAATGGATGCCCTCTTGGGAAGCATAGGCCCAATTCTGTCAATTCTCTTGGCCCTAAGGAATTGGGAAAACTGCAGTTGCTTTTTGGTTCCCTGAGGCTTACTTGCTCCCTTCCCTCTACATCCCTGAATCTTCCTGGAGGTTACAGGGAAAAGTAAGAACAGCTAAAAACACCTTTGCAGATTCTAGAGGTTTTGTGATCAATCACTAAGGAGTGTTTCAAAATTCTCTACAACATGGTCACTCCCTTCCCTTGAGTCAAGAGGGTATTTGTCAATCCCTCTCATAGAAGAGAGTTTCACCCTTTCCTCCTCACCTTCGATTTGGCCCTCCCCAACCTGGGAAAAGGAAGGAGGGGAGAGGGGCAGCAGCTACAGCATGGGCCCCACTGACAATGGCCTTGGTCTCTAGGGTAACCTTTACAGCATCACCCAGGTTCATCACATCCTGCTCAAGGTAAAGAAGCTGGCCTCTGAACTTGGGTAAGCACACTCTTTTAAAGTTGTAGTTTTAGGAGCAGCTAGGTGGTGCAGTGGATAGAGCACCGGCCCTGAAGTCAGGAGGACCTGAGTTCAAATTTGGCCTCAGACCAAACACTTGACACTTACTAGCTGTGTGACCCTGGGCAACTTACCCTCAATTGCCTAAAAAAAAAAAATTAACTGTTAATGATGAGATGTTGATTCTCTGTATAAAGTAATTTGGAAATGCATTTAACAAAACTGAAGTCATCTGACTGGTAATGGGTTTGTTTCAAATTTTTCTATCAGTTATGTCAAGCAACTTTTCATAATTTCCATAATTTGGTTGTTTATTTCATGGTTTGGCTATTGTTGGTTATTGTTTTAATGTGTAAACTTGCCACAAAGCTTGTTTGGGTTTTGTCTTGCTGAGAATTTGCAAGTATATAGAAATCTCTAACATTGGCTTTTTACACCAGGACAAATTTAAATTTGAGATGTAAAGCCTGGAAAACTTTTTCCAAAATTGTGACTAGTGAAACTTGCTGTTTGAGGTAAAAGCTCATAGGATATTATTTTGAGTCATGTGAGGGATCATAATCCATTGATAATCAATAATCCACCATCTGAGAGAAATGCCACAAGCTACACAGAGAATGTGATACCGGTGGGAAGTCAGCATTTGGAAAAGCTGAGAGGACAATTTTAGCCTCAGTCTAAGATGGGATCCTCCTGGCTCAGTTTTCCCCATTATGATCCTTTGAAAGGGAATGTTACCCACCTGGCTATTCCGGAATCTGGCTATGAGATGGATTTGATACTGCATAGTTGGAAAACTAAATTATCTGAATCCAAACAGAGCTAAGGATGTTTTTATCCTGTCATATCTGGCCCTGCAGTCTTTTCTGTCAGATTTGTGTCTTTCAGACTGCAGGCCATTCACCGACAGTTGGTAGCAAACATGGGTACCAGCCAATGTCCCCCCATCGTTCCCTGGATGCAGCTTGTGCTCGGTTCCAATCAATTTCCTCTTTGGGACCCCCTTGATGTAGGTACAGCTCTATGCCCCTTGCCAGTAGGAAGTAGTTTCAGAAGCCAAGACCTTCACCACTTACTCCAAAAGAATTTGGGTCCATTTGTTTGAGGGTGGAATGATGGGGTTGGGACCTGGACCCCAGAAAGGAAAAACCCAGGACTTTCCCACATGGCCAAATCTCTGGTGTTTGCCTGAGGCTATAATTCCATCAACTGACCTTTCATTGTGGCTATGCCCAATCTCCCAATTCTTTGTTACCCTTAACCTAGCATAGCCCTCCATTATCTTACCTCCCTATGGCCCCCAACCATTTCTCACCCTCAATCCTAGCTGGGCTCCATTCTCCCTTGGCCACATGATCCAGGTCCCTGGCATTCTATTACTTCACAGTGTTTGCAGACTAATTGGCCACTCTTACATCTCTCCCACATTCTTTCTGCATATAAATAAGGTCCATCTTGTCTCCATTAAGGTGCTCAGATTCTTAAAATCTAGCTACTGCTCAGATTCTTATAAACTAGCCAATAGCTCACTAATGTTCAGACTCAAGAGTCTGCCCAATATGATGACAGATGTTCTCATAAATCTCTTCTTAAGCTGAAAAAATAAAAGAAAGAGAGAAACTTGCTCAGGTCCACCGAACCAGAAAGTGTCTAAGGCTGAATTTGAATTCAGGTCTTCCTGACCTTCCAGGCAAAGCACTCTATCCACAGCTGATAATTATTTTTGACAAGACAATATTATCTTAAATTAGTAATTAAATAAAACAGAAAAACAACACTGAATAATATTTTTGCATCTCTTAATAATATTGGATGCTAATGCTTAAAGAAAAAAGTTTAATAAGCAAAGGGTGGAGATGAAATGAAGCCTTTGATTATGGAGATAGTGTAGGAAACTTTTAAAAAAATTGAGATTTGTTCAGTTTCCACTAATTTTCTTTTTCTTAATTTAGGTATATCCCATGCTTATCAGCTATGGTTAAGGTAGGATTTTTTACTCAGAACAGTGACAAAAAAATAAAAATGAAACAGGGTAAAATACTGAGGGTAGAGAGAGATATTCTGGGAAGGAATTGGCAGAGAGAGGGGAAAGAATTAAAAAATGTGTTTGTATACATTTGAGAAATTGCTTAAGCAAGAAACAGAGTTATGAGTAGTGAAAGTAATCAGAAAGGAAGAAAGCAAAGCAGCATCAAATGCTCATAACAGTGGAAAAGAAGGTGAAAGAGAAAGATGTTGGGTCAGCCATCATGCTGGCTGAGTGGAACTTGGCGGGTAGGACAACTTGGTTTCTGTGCATTTTAGGGGAGAACATAATGATAAAGATAGAAGGGAAAGGACAAGAGTCTGTGACAGTTTTCAATCTGAGTTCACACATAGCTGATGTTTGCAAATACAATGTTCATCATTCTGGGAGTGTCTCTTTCTATATTAAATAGTCAATCTTAAAACTAATGGATAAGTATCTAGTTGCCATACCATTCAGGATGAACTGGCAAGGGTTCTCTTCTTTGGTCACTACTGAACACATTCAAAAGTATCTCAACCTCAAAAAGGTTTAACTGTACAGTGACTGGTTCTAGGATTGTTTTCTTTTAGTTTTAGGTAACATTTGTATTTTAAACAAATGGTTGCCTACACTCATTTCCATTATCATTACTCTATTTAAATGATTTTAATAGTCATATCAACAAGATTATTAGTCTCCAATAAAATTTGGTTACATGCTAGGTCTTGCATTTTTGCTATGCAAATTAGGCTGAGGACTATCTATCTACCTCTGTGTGTGTGTGTGTGTGTGTGTGTGTGTGTTTGTGTGTGTGTATGTGAAAGGCAAAATCTATTAGTATGCAAATCATAGCATTTCCATGAGTAGAAGATCTAGTCAGTCAACTATGAAAGCTTTTGGCTTTGGCCACTTCATTGAGCCAATCTCTCAGCTGCCCTAACCTATGGGGCTGTTTTCACTTACACATTCCTACTTTCACTCTCTATGTGTACATGGACCTATGTGTACAAGGAACATGCTATGCCTGTATTTCTTGACTTTTAGGACAAGTAAAATATTAAGAAAAACTCAAAATATAGCCTATCATTTTAAGTTTTGAAAAATAATGAAGGGCTGATATTTGAAATGACATAAAAAATATGGGGCAAGTTTACAGCAGGACAGCATTTCATTGTTTCTAAGAACACACATAATTGTTTATTTTCACCAATTAATAAACTATACAAAATTCTGTTCAGACAAGTGAATAATGTACTTTGATCCATCAAATTTCCAGCAAGGATTCCACAGATTTTCAATATTTAACAGACAAAATAAAACATACCCGTCCTTTAAAAATACATTTGGAACTTAATTTCCCTATGCATAATTTCTGTGACTCATGTTTAAAGATACTATTGTATATATTGCTGAATAAATTCCAGAGAAGCAGCACGGTCTGGTGGATAGAAAGCTAGTCTTGAAGCTTGCAAGACCTACTAGGTGTTCAAATCCTACCTCTGACACACACTGGTTGTGTGACCTAGGGTAAGTCCCTTAACCTCTCATTGATCTAAGCAATTTTCTAAGATTCTAAGTTGCAGAGAAGATACTGACCTACAGGGGTAAAGAAAGTTCCCTACACATATCCAGTCCATATCCCATGAGAAACTCTAACGTACACATTTAATTTGATAGCAATATTAGGTATGCTGACAGAGTAATGTAGCTGATTCTATGAACTATACATGAAAAACCAATCTCCTTACACTTAGCACAGCAGTTCTTCCAAACTTTTTCATCTCTCCTCAAATCTCCCTTGGTTCACTATGCACCTTCTCAGGTAAAAAATTTGCCTCATATTTTACTGAAAAAAACTGAGGCCATTACCTGAGACCTCCCTATTACTCCCTCCTCATTTCACATCATCCAAATGCCTTGTGCCCCTATCTCTTCCTTCACCCATCTCATATGAAGACATTTGTGGCCCTTTTAACTTGCCAATGAAAATGCCCCTACATGTACAAATGAGGCCATTATATCTTATCTCCTCCAATCTGTGCTTCCTCTATCATTCTTATTCTCACTTATCTTCAGTCTTTCCCTGCCTACTGGCTACTCCCCTGCCTGCCTACAAACATGCTCATGTCTTCTCCCCCATTCCCAAAAAAGGCTTTACTTGATCAATCTGTCCCTATTATTATCTAACATCTCTCTTGCCTTTTGTGGCTAAATGTTATGAGACTGCGGTTGACAACAGGTGTCTCCACTTTCTCTCCTGTCATTTTCTTTTAATACTCTGCAGTGAGGATTCCAAACTCTCCAAAGACACTAATGCTCTCTTAAGTGCCAAATCCAATGGTCTTGTCTCAATTCTCATCCTTCTTGACCTCTCTGAAGCCTTTCAAGCTAGAATCCCCTTCTCTCTAGGTTTTGTAACACTACTTTTTCCTGGTTCTCTTCCTAAGTCTCTAATCCTCTCCTTTTCAGTCTCTCTTGTTGATTACCATACCCATTAGACTGACCTCCTAGAATGCAGGGACAATCCCTGCTCCCTATTTCTTTGTATCTGTTGTGGTTACCCTGGTGTCTGACACATAGAGTAGATGCTTAATAAAAGCAGAAATACATTTTCTGCCTTAACGCTTTTACTCTCCACATATCGAGGCCATATTTCAGCACATGGGGCAAATAGGACGCACGATGGATAAGAGTGCTAGGCCTTGGAGTCAGGAAAACGCATCTTCCTCAGTTCGCATATGGCCTCACATACCCATGTGACCCCGGACAAGTCACTTAACCCTCTTTGCCTCAGTTTCCTCGTCTGTAAAAGGAGCTGGAGAAGGAAACGGCAAGCCGTTCCATTATCTTTGCTAAGAAAACCCCCCAAATGCCTTCACGGAGAGTCGGACACAACTGAAACGACTCAAAACAACATTTCACTAGAAGAGAGTAGTATTTGCTCCCACGTCGCCATCGAGAAAGAATAAGTTGGTTGGACCCTGGCTCAAAGTACAATGAAGGAGTTTCCCGTTCATTAAAAGTGGACAGGCAGGAGGGTGAGGTGACCCCAGCTTTCGGGACTTGCTGTGCAATGTCCAGGAGGCAAAGCCTGGCCCTGACCCCGCCGGGGTCCTGTCCCAGGTGCTGAGGGGAACAGCTTCTCCCAGGGTTAGTGAAAACACGGACCCAGGAGGAGGGAGGGGTGGGGGAGTAGGGGGTCTCAGGCTGCTGGGGGGGCGGGGGGCCCTTCCCTTCTCTCCCCCCTCCCCGCCCCTCTTACCGGTTCACTTTATCCCGATCGTTCACGCCTGCCTTCCCCAGCAACAGCAGGTACTGCACCTTCGCCACGTCCCCGACGGAGGCAGCTTTGTGGATCTTCCCCAGGTCCTTGGCCCTGAGGAGGTATCCTGAATTAGGGCCGAAAACTCGGACCCCGCTGTCCCTCCGCGGGACGAAGGAGGCTCGAGAGGGAGACAGCTCTCTCTTGCTGCCAAAGCTGAAAAACTTCTTCATCCTGATGGTCGGCTTCAGAGAGGCTCGGGAGAACTCGCGAGGGGTTCTCCCTTGGCCTCTCAGCCTTCTCCGAGCCCTCGCCTCCGCTCCAGAAAAGTGTAGGGGCCGGAGAATGGAGGTTCAGAGACTCCAGAGCGCCCAACAGTTACAGAAGATTCAACCCTGGAGACGGTTGTAGCCTTGGCAACGGGGCGAGATGGACTGAACTGCGCATGCGTTGATCAGGTCCCGTGCAGGGGCCCAACGGTAAAGTTCCGCACGGGTGAGTGCACATGCGCGGGGTCCGTTAACTATCCCTGAGAAGGGTCCCCCCGCGAAGGGGGCTGAGCTCCAGGCCGCTTCCGGTGCTAGAGCTTCTTTCCACTCTCGCGCTGAAAGAGGATGCACAGCAAAGTAGCAGAGGTGGGGATGAGGTGTGGCTTAATGGGAAGCGTGCTAGATCTGGATTCAGACGCTCGGTTCGAATCTGGGACCCGCTCTGTTGTTTCCCTTTTTGAAGATGGGCAAAGCCCTTCCTCTCCGAGCCTTAGTTTCTTCTTTTGCAAAATGAAGACGTTGTACTAGACGACCTCCCAACTCTCTTCTAGCCCTTAATGGCTATGTGAAGCCCAGACTGAAAGCGAGTGCGATGGGATCTGCTGGATCCCCTGGGACAAATACATCTAGGTTCCTCTTTCTTCTGATTCGTCCTTCCCCTTTGTTGCCTTCAGGAGAGGAGGGAATGGTTTGTATGGGACAGGGAGCCTGGCACGGGGGGGGGGGGGTGGACCTGGCCTTAGCCAGGAATCCCTGGGTTCAAGCCCAGCCTCAGCACAATTTCAGTTGCCCTACTGACGCTGTTATTAATGGTGGGAAGGAGGGGTTACAGCAGTTTGTTGGGAAAAGATTTGTCCGTTTTAATTGATCATAAGTTGCTATAAAGAGTTAAACCTACCCTAAGGCTATAGTAATAGAATAATAGGGTTTAAATCACAGAAGATAATAGTCTCATTCAACACTGGGCTCAAGGAAACCTGTTCAGAGTATTTTGTTTACTTATGGATGCTACATATTAGGAGAGACATTGATAAATTCAGAGTTGTGGTTGTGATTTGTCCTTTGTTCTGGAAGACGACCCTGACATCAGGAAGATGATGACACGACTTGTAATTTAATTAGATTTGAGTGACGGTGAGCTGTGCATAGTCACCAGCCACACTTTCTTCTGAAGAGCTATCTGGGTCCAGTGGCCAGAAATAGATCAGGATGACTGGAGATGGCCCAGCTGAATTAAGAGACAAGAGGTACAGATGAACTAAGAATGTTTAAAACAGAGAAGACTAAGGGAAGACATGATGTTTATTTTCAAATATGTGAAGGGCCATTGTGTAGACTTGGTTTGCTAAGACTAGTGATGAAAGGAGCCTGTTTTTGACTTGTATCACAAAAAGGAAAATTTATAGCAATGTAATGGTCTGCTTGTGAGACAGTTCCCTTCAGTAGAAGCTGTCTGATCATGTCTGGCCATGGAGGCAGAAAGAATGGTTAAACTGATTGCAAAGCTGAACTCCATGATTTTTGAGGTCTCTTCCAACATGGATATTTTGATTCTCTATATTAGTTTATATCAAATTGTTGCTGGCTTCCATTAGAATAGATCATCATAGTTGGCTTTGTTTTTAAGGTACATATAATATAGAGCAGAAGCTAGAAGTATTTTGTTTATTGAAGTTAGTTCAACCCTCAAAGCATAAGGAAATTTCTGTGAAGGGGAATAGAACTGACTATTATCCAACTGGTCTTGGCTTTCCCCCGCCTTTTCTCCTATGCTGCTTCCCATTCATGATGTGAAATGTATTCTCTCCACTGCTAGCATTCATACTGTTCATTCAGCTCCAAGACCACTGGACTTAACAATACAGAAATAATTAATACCCACCCTGATAACCTGCTGCTGCTGCTGCTCCTCCTTTTTTTCCTGTCCAGACAACCTAAATGTAAGTTCATCCTTTGGTCTCTTGGTCTCAGTGGTAGTCTGTTTGTGGCATAAGTCAAATGAGCCATATGTTGTTGAATGTATTTGTGCCATGACCTGTCAAGATTTCTTCAAGGGATAGACTCTCTCCATTCTATATGCCATACCTGATATCCTGCAGAACTTCAAAGCTGTCTCTAAATGGCATACAATGTTCAATAACATTTTTTACCATCTAGCACCATGATCTAGTACTCTGACTGCATTTGGGCTATGGTTTGGCTAGTTAGAAGTCCTATTTAGCAAGTAACAGACTCCATTATTATATACATATTATACTGTGTATGATTTGTGGACTGAAAATTAGTAGTGCACTGTATAATTATTTTCTAACATATGTATAGTTCTTATTGGGGAGAGGGCCAATGTATATGTTACAAAAAATCCTAGCTGATATCTATAGGGAAGAATAAATTAGTAAATTAAATTTGTTAATGCTTCAAATATAGAGGCAAGTCATTAATTAAAACCTCATGACTTGCTGTGTTTGGCTGAAACCTAGAATGAAATTTGTGGAAGGTGAAAAATATTTTCATGAGTTTTTAATGAAAATAGATGAAAACAGACTAGATGAAAATGGACAAATAATTCTTATTACAATTATTATTGGTGATACTAATAGCTCCCATGTACCTAGTATTTTGTAGCTCATCCAGCACTTTACATGCTTCATCTACATTTTTACAACATTTCTCCCCATCTCATCCCTCCCCCAACCCCAAGACAACTTGAATTCTGAATACCCTATAATGTTTTATTACTTTTTGCAACTTTTGGCACTGTGCAACCTTGAAACAACTTTCCTCCTCTAAGGGGTCCAATTAAAGCCCACAGATTTTACCAATAAATGGGGCCCACAAATATTATAGTAATTTGCTTTCTCTACCCCTGCATCCTTCCAATGACAAGAATGAATGATTGAAACCTTGAATGGTTTCTTTCCTGGGCCCTAAAATTAAGGGTATTTTAGAGGCCTTTTCTTGTTTTTAGTTTAGACATGAACCTTTCCGTTTCTTCAACAAGCACCCACTCAACTAGTCCTTTATTTGTCAAGCATCTGGACCCTCACATCTAGCTCTCCAGGAAAGGACAAGACAGCTTGCTGCTGCAGATGCTATAGAAGGAGGCTGGCATGAGGAGAGGGAGGGCCGCTGGACCAGGGAAAACATTTTGAGGGTGGGTGGGTAAGTAAGAACCACAATTACAAAAAAAAAATTAGATATGGAACAGGCAGCTTTATTCCCAGACAGAAAAGAAAATGCTAAGTAATAAAAAATCATAGAATGATTAGACTAGAATCGAGTAATGTATAACTATCAGATGTAACCTAATATTCAGTTTTTGCAGTGCAGCTAATTAGCCCAATACATTTCACCTTCATGAGACACAAGATAATTTAACACTGAGTGGAATTTTCTTTCTGATTTTCAGTCTCTCTGTCACTGTTTCTTTTTCTGTGCCTGTTTCTTCCTCTCTCTCTCAGTTTCTCTCTCCTTTCCTCCCCATGAAAATGATCCCCTTGGCCCTAGCTCATTCCTCTTCATGTAATTATAATCACTCTGGCATAATCTCCTGATCCTGACAACAACCCTGGGAGGTGGGTGCTATTATTATCCTCATTTTGCAGATGAGAAAACAGGCAAAGAAAAGTTAAATGACTTGTCCAGTGTCATACAGCTAATAAGTATCTGAGGCTGTACTTAAACTAAAGTCTTCCTGACTCCTAGTCCTACACTCAATCCACTGTGCCCCCTAGTTGCCCAGCAAATGCAAAGGGTCCCAAAATTATGCCAAAATCCCCTAATCAAGTACAGTGACTAGCTAGGTCACCCTTGGTTGAAGACACAAAGAGTCTCAACATGCACAAATTTTTGTCCTTTACCTGCCAACACCCTTTTCCCAGGGTTCAATTCTGGGAGAAGCCTGACTTTCAAATAGTCAAAGGAAGCTATGGAATTGGAAGCTATTAGAACAGCTCCTTGCTGGTTCCTCATTGGCTCTTCACTCTCCCTACACCACCTGCTTCACAGAATAAATTGCTATTTACAGTAATGTTGCTTTTGGCTATTATCTAGGGTTTTCCACAAGAAGGAGAGAAAGTAAAAATGCTTTCCCATGCATCAGATAATAGGAAAGATTGTTTTCTTTCCACATAGAAAGCAATGATGAGCATAAGGGAATTACAGTGTTCATTAAAAGAATAACATTAATAGGATTTGGAAATTCACCTTATAGCCAACTTGCAGCTTGTGGTTATCTGTCAGAAGGCTAAGAGCAAGTCTTTACACATAATTCAGTTTGACAATTCTTCTAATTAGGTATTTCACATTTTTTGTGCATTTTTCATGAACAGGTTCAATCAAACACTGTGTGTATATGTGTGTGTGTGTGTGTGTGTATGTGTACATTTACATACATGCACAGGTATACAAACAGATCTCCAAAGCAGATCTTTTCTAGTGGTTCCTCTTTCTCAAATGCCAACTCTTTTGTTTCAGCCCACTTTTGGTGCTGATGCTGCCACCACAACTGACCACTTCAGTAGACACTACAGCCACAGCCTCCCAGGACCTTATGACCTTTTGAAATTTACAAGGTCACCTGGGCTCATCCATCTTGAGGTTGCTGCTCAGTCACCTAGTGACTCTGGAAGATATACAGCTTCCACCATTCCCTTATTCAGTCTCCCATGGAGCTTTGAAGAATCCTTATGATTGAAAACCATAAAGGAAAAGGAACATTTTTTATTATTGTTTTTTGGGGGGCAGGCATTTGAGCCTCCTCATTGGTTCTTTAGCCAGACCTGTGGGTATACAGATAAGTCTTGATTAGAATAAATAATGAATTCCCTGAATTTATCCTATGTATTCACACTATTTGAAGTTATAATTATATAAAATATGGCAGTTGCTTCCAGCCCAATTCAGACATGTAGTGCAAATCCAGATAATGTGACTAATTCAAAAGATTCATTATTTGCATTAATTGGAACCCAGCTAAATTCTGGCTTGAGAATTAGTGGGAAGATTTCACATATATAGAGTCAATCCTATATAGACAGAATCAATATAGTCTCAAAAACAGATGGGGAAAAGGGGATATATTGCACATAAGTGTTCTATAAAAAGGAAAACCAATGAGAAATTTTATAATACATGGCTTTATTCAATTTGACATCCAAGAAACTAGGTTCAAATCTGGCCCCTGTCATTTTATTAGCTGTGTCCCAACCCATGGAAGGGAGATAACCATACTTCAGCTGCCTATTTCACAGGAATGTTGTAAAAATGGAGATAAAGTATGTAAAGTTCTGGATGAATCACAAAATAACTAGATACATGGGAGCTATTAGTATCAACAATAATAATAATTGTAATAGGAATTATTTGTTCATTTTCAACCAGTTTTCAACTAGTCTTCATTAAAACCTCGTGAAAATATTTTTCAACTTCTACAAATTTCATACTGGCTTTCAGCCAAACACTTGTCATTAAGTCATGAGGTTTTAATTAATGATTTGCCTCTGTATTTGAAGTATTAACAAACTTAATTTACTAATTTATTCTTCCCTATTGATATCAGCTAGTGTTTTTTGTAACATATACATTGGCCCTCTCCCCAATAAGAATTATATGTATATTAGCAAATAGTTATACAATGCTCTATTAATTTTCTCTCTATAAATTATACATAGCATAACATGTATCCGCCTGACCCAGGAAGATCCATAAAGCTGCCTCCAATGGGGATGTAAAGAAGGTGCAGCAGCTATTACTGCACAGGAAGTCTGGCCTGAAAGATCTAAATAAAATGAACTTGTAGAGAGTGTAGAAAGAGAGAAGGGACGTGCGCCTTGGAGGAGTCTAAGGCACACCCCTACCCCCACCCCGCCCTTGCCTTAAGGTGAGTTCCCTTGTCTCCATTAACCCTTGGAAAACTATTCCCTTCAGCACCTGGGACAGGGCAGCGCCTCCAATTAGGGACAATGTCAAGCTTTGCCTCCTGGACATTGGATGGCGAGTCGTGAAGCATGCTAATTAGGTCGTCCAGGGGCGGGGTTAGGGAGTGGTTAGGGAGTGGTCAGTTCTTAAAGGAACATGGAATTTTTGTACTTAAGTGTATTTGCGTTTTACCCAGAATTCACAGCGAGAAGGGGGAGGGGCTACTGAAGGGTGTGTTTTTAGATCTGCGACTGTCACCAAGGAACTAAGGGTCAGGAAGGACCCTGCTGTCTGCTAACAGTCAGTGTCCTGTTACACAAGATAGCCACAGGAGAGGACATATAGCTTGACGTCTGCAATGTATACGGTAACCGAGGGAGTCAGTAGAGATAGTCCTGTTCATGCAAGGGAAATTCTATAGAGGTCAGTGTCTTCTTCAAATAGGGAAAGATAGTTTGTTCACTGGGTCCCATTCATGGGTTACTGCCAGAGATGTGGTTTTAGGGCTGGAGTCCAAGGACTCCATCAGGTTCACTTCATCCAGATCATTCACACCTGACTTCCCCAGCAGCAGCAGCTGCACCTTCGCCTCATCTCTAATCGAGGCAGCTTTGTGGATCTTCCCCACTGTCCCTCCGCGCCGGGAAGGAGGCTGCAGAGGGAGACGGCTCTCTCTTGTTGCCGAAACTGAAAAACTTTTTCATTTTGCAACCGGGCTTCAGAGCGGATCGGAAGAACTCGCGAGGGGTTCTCCCTTAGCCTCTCAGCCTTCTCCGGCCCTCGCCTCCACTCCAGAAAACTGCAATGGCCGGAGACTGGAGGTGAAGAGACTCCAGAGCGCGCAACAGTTATAGAAGATTCTGCCCTAGAGACCATTGTAGCCTTGGCAACAGAGTGAGATGGACTGAACTGCGCATGCGTTTATCAGAAATGCGTTTATCCAAGTCTCACCCTGAAACAGCAAGTATTGGGAGGGAGGGAGGGGGAGAGGGGGAGAGAGGGAAGGCTACATGGGGACGAGGTGTGGCCAAATGAGAAGCTTGCTGCTGCTGAATTCAGAGGACTCAGGTTCGAATCTCAAATCCCGGAACCTGCTCTGTTGTTTACCTTTGTGAAAATGGGCAAAGCCCTTCCTCTCTGAGCCTCAGTTTCTTCTTCAGTAAAATGAAGACGTTGTACTAGATGACCTCCCAAGTCTCTTCCAGCCCTTAATAATCTGTAAAGCCCAGACTGAAAACCAGTGCCATGCAAATGCAGTCTCCATTCATCTTTCTTCTGATTCTCCTTCTCCCCCCCCCCCCCGCTTTTTTTGTGTGTGGGACAGGGAGCCTGCTACATGGAGAGTGGAACTGGCCTTAGCCAGGAAGCCTGTGCAGAATTTCAGTTGCCCTGTTGATGCTGTTATTAATCATGGGAAGGAGGGGGTTACAGCAGTTCATTGGGAAAAGATATGTCAGTTTTAGTTGATCATAAGTTGCTAAAAGAGTTAAGCATACCCTAAGGCTATAGTAATAGAAAAATAGGGTTTAAATCACAGAAGATAATAGTCCCATTCAGCTCTGGGCTGAAGGGACCCTGTGCTTACTTGTTTGTGTTTACATATGTTTCGTATTTACTTATAGATGCTATATATTAGGAGGGACATTGATAAATTTAGACACAAGAGATATGGATGAACTAAGAATGGTTAAGATAGAGAAGACTAAGGGAAGCCCTGATGTCTATTTTCAAATATGTGAAGGGCCATCGTGAAGAATTGGGTATCTGCAGAATAAGTTGCAAAGATCAGTGATTAGAGCAGCTTGGTTTTGACTTGTATAAGGAAAAACAAATTTTATAGCAATGGAATGGACTTCTTGTGAGACAATTCCCTTCAAGTAGAAGCTTACTGTGGTACAGAAACAATTCTGACATTGATTGCAAGGCTGGACTCTATGATTTTTAAGGTCCTTTCCAACAACAGATATTTTGATTTTCTATATTAGTTTATATCAAACTGTTACTGGCTTCCATTGGAATAGATCATCAAAGCTGTCATTGTTTTTAAGGTACATCTAATGTAGAGCAGAAGCTAGAAGTATTTTGTTTGTTGAAGTTAGTTCAACCCTCAAAGGATAAGGAAATTTCTGCAAAGGGGAATAGGACAGGTTATTATGTAACTGGCATTGGTTCCTACCCCCCCCCCTTTTTCTTCTCTGCTTTTTCTCCATTCATAATGTGAAGTGTATTCTCTGCATTACTAGCATTCATACTGTTTATTCAGCTCCAGAATCACTGGACTTGAGAATACAGAAATGTTGCATACCCACCCTGATGAATGGGTGCTGCTGCTTTTTTTTTTCTGGCCAAATAACCAACCAAAATGTTAGCTCATCCTGTGGGTCCTTTGGTCTCAGTGGTGGGCTGTTTATGGCCCAGTGTGTAAATCCATATGTTGTTGGTTGTACTTGTGCCATGACCTGTCAAGATTTCTTCAAGGGATAGACTCTCTCCATTCTGTCTGCCATAACTGATATCCTGCAGAACTTCAATGCTGTCTCTAAATGGCATTTGATGTAGATATAGGTAACATTTCCTACCATCTAGTATGATGATCTAGTACTCTGACTACACTTGAACCATGGCTTGGCTAATTAGAAATCCTATGTAACAGGCTCCATCATTACATACATATTATGCTGTGTATGATTTGTGGACAGAAAATTAGTAGTGCATTGTATAATTATTTGCTAAGGTATATATATAATTTATAATTTTATTTATATTATTTAATTTATAATTCTTATACACCCTGGGATTTGCCTTCTCTTTTGGTTTCAGGGCAGTACTCAATTTCCCAGCATTGCCTACTCCTGTGCCTGCTGGATCCTTCTCACCCCAACCCTAATCTCTCCTTCAAGAGGAGCAGGACTTTCCTGAGATTTGTCCCTAGGTTATCTTTTACAGTACTGGAAAAAAAACTGTGTTTCCAAGACCTTAAGAAGGAATGCCTTGTGCCTGCCTCAATATGATCTAGAGGACCAAGAAAAAAAAATTGTCTGATTTGTTCAGGGGATTTCTGATAAGTTTCTCTGAGATTTTGAACTTTCCCCATCATTATCTGTATCAATCTGCTTGGTATATTTATCTGTTCTGTTTGTGTCTCTGTGTGGTGTGAGTGTCTGTGTGTAATCTGACACCTTGTAGGATTTGAAATGCAGATAGCCAGCAAGGGATACTTCTAAGGGCTGTAGCCAGACCAAAAAGAGTGATAAGCTTTCTTGGAAAGAAAAAGTTGGTAAACTAACTCTCTCTCTCCCTCTCTCTCTCTCTCTCCTCTCTCTCCATACACACACATTCCTGAACTCTGCCCAGGTTCTGAATGTGGAGGGACAGACAAGAAAAAAAGAAGGGGGCAACCTTTTCCCATCAGATCAAAGAGAGGCAGATTGACTAGCACTTAACCATTTCCTGCCTCCAGTGAAAAAAAAAAAAGGAAAGTTTTTGTGTAATGTGATTCACACTAGGCAGTCTCCTACAAAAAGAGAACAAATTTGGCTTACAAGATCTTTAAAAGAGATGCCTTAAAACTGAAGCCTTGAGCTCTGCAGGACCAGGGAGAAGGGACTAGGCACCGAACAAGATCTTTTTCCAGGGCTCCAACTCACCTGTCTGGCAGGATCAATGCCCCACTCTAACTTTTTAAGGGGTTGATGTAGAAGTAAAATTTATTTGAGCAAAAGTTCAAAAGAAATTCTTACAGTTCTTCTCCCTGTGGTCTCAGCTCTGATCAGGATGAGACTACAGTGAAAAGTTAGAACAGCTAAAACATCTTAGCAGATTTTATAGGTTTTGAGATTGATCATTAAGTAATTTGGAAATTGACCATTTTAAGATTACAGGAGAAAACTCCCAAGATTTTAGGGTAATTCCAGAGTTCATCTCCTTTTGAAACACCTTCTCACAATCCCGAACACATAGCATTCCCCACTTCCTTCCCCTGAATCAAGAGGGTATCAGAGTGTGGGGATTGCAAACAGCTCCGTGTTTTCCTGCTAACCCCTCTTTTCCCAGATCAGACTAAGAGAAGATAATAGGGAATTTGAGTCACCTTCCCTCACCGGCCAAAAGAAAGGATGTGGGAGGGGCAGCAGCTACAGTGGGGGCCCTGATGTGGTGATAGGACTTGTACCTCAAAGTAAAAGACCAGGTCTCTGGAAGCAATCCAGTGTCTCCTTGGGCACCTGTGGGAAATTCTTTCCTTGTTGAAGGCACACACACACACACACACACACACACACACACACACCACACACACACACACACACACCTGATAAAAGACACAGATGAAAGCTATCAGTCCAGGCTCTGGGGTGCTAGCCAAAGGACTCTGTCTCTGGTGCTTGTCCAAGGACCATGCCTCTGGCAAGTCTTTGTGTAATCAGAACTATCTTGTCTCTTCTCACCCAATATCTGGTATCAACAGTGTTATCTCTGTTGACTCCCTGAATTTGCCCATGCATTCTAGGAATCCAAACCACTGGCACTTGCACCCAAGGCACCTGGACCACTGTTTAATCCCACCCTAGATCCCCTAATTAGCATACTTGGCATTTCTTTCACTGACCCTTTCTGCATATAATCTTTAACATCATCCTAATCAACTTGCAAGTTTGAGTGTGTGAATTCATTCCAGGCAATACAGCCCTGTACCATGCTATTTTTGAGGTTCTATCACCACTAAACTAAGTCAGCCCCACTGACAACGACCCTGGGCCTCTGGGCACTCTACAGCCTACCCCTCTAGGATATCCTGCCACCCTCCCCAGCAACTGCAGGAAGAGAGACAGGAGAAAAGAAAGGGATAGGTCAAGGCAATATGAAGTAAGAAGCCAGCCAGTCTGTGCTTTTGGTAAACCCAACCTTTTATCAATAATTATTATATGTGATGATTTGGAAATGCATTCAACAAGACTGGTCATTGGATTAGTAATGGGTTTGTTTCAAGTTTCAAATATGTAATATTGTTTTATTGGTAAACATTTGTATCAATTATGTCAAGCAACTTTTCATAACTTGGATGTTATAAGAGTATGAAATGAAAGAAACTAAAACATAGTGGAAAATTATTTAAAACCAGATATGTTATTTTATCAGCCCTGGGAAGTGCTTGTTTGATTTATGGAGTTCCCAATGAACTTGGCTTGCTGAGAATTTGCAAGTTTATTTAAATGAGCTCTAAAGATTGGCTTTTACACCAGAACAAATTGAAATTTAAGATTTGAGTCCTGGTAAATTTTTATTGCTTATTGCAACTCCATCAGAGTAAAACTAATTGTATCTAGCCCCAAGCTATGATTAGTGAAACTTACTATTTGAGGTAAAAGTTCTTGGGAATGTAATTTTTTTTTGAGTTTGAATTTCAGTATAGTTGTCTGCACTAAATCAGGATCTGAGAGAAATGCCACAAGCTACTCAGAGGGAATGTGATCCTGAACTGCTACAGGTAGAGATTTGCATCTGGGAAAAGCTGAGAGGATAGCCTTAGCCTCAGTCTAAGGTGGGATCCTCCTGGCTCAGTTTCCACATGGTGTTCCCTTTGAAAAGAAATGTTTCCCACCTGGCTATTCCTGAGTCTGGCTATGAGGTGGAATTGATACTGTGTGGTTGGAAAAATGTGACTCTTATCTGGATTCAAATAGAGCCAAGGATGTTTTAACTTGTCATATTTGGTATAATCATTTCCCTACTTTTTTATTTTATAGCAGATTTAGATAATCAGAGCAAGTGATATGAGTAAAAGATATGAGTACAATGCAAGTATTTGAGATCTTCTTGTTTTGATCTGAATGTGTAGTCATTCCATAACTGGGTAAATTAGAACTCAGGCTTGTCATCTCTCTGTCTGCATAGTCATGTGAAAGATTAAATTCCTGGAACAGAACATTCTTTGTGAATGATATGGGAATAATTAGACAAAGGGAAAAGAAGTTTGTGAAACAAAGGTACAAACACAATGTTGAATCATTATCCCATAGACTAAAGCTGGGATAATAAAATGTGTATTTAAGATCTGAGCTATTCAGCCTAAAATTATATTCCTTTCTATACCCTAAACAACTTAGTAAATGAGTAATTGGCCTAGTCATCTGCCTGTTACTACATACACACACACACACACACACACACACATACATACATATATATATATACACACACATATATGTATGTGTATATATATATGTATGTGTATTTATATACATATACATATATATACATATACATATACATATATATGTATATATATGTATATATATATATGTGTGTGTGTATATATATATATGTCTCTATGATGTAAGGTCCTTAAATGTTTCAAAATGTTGTAAGAACAATTTGGTATTGGTACATCTAATTGAAGGATCTTGCTGTTATTGTATTAATTATTGAAATTAAATCAGAAGCATTTTTGGTTTGGGAAAGAGAATTTCAGTATAATCAATTTTCTTAGAGGGAGGTAACTTATAGCTCAAATATCCTTCCAGGTCTTTTATCATAATTGGAGTAAAGTCAGCCTCTTATAAGCAAATTCATTTGTATAACTATTGAACCCAAGGGTGGAAAATTTCTACCTGCAAGAATATAGTTACTGGGGCAGCTAGGTGGTGCAGTGGATAGAGCACTAGCCCTGGAGTCTCAGGAGGATCTGAGGTCAAATCCAGCCTCAGACACATAACACTCACTAGCTGTGTAACTATGGGCAAGTCACTTAACCCCACTTGTGTCATGTAAAAAAAAAAAAGAATATTGTTACTTATATTTTCACCTATAGGATTGAATCTCCAATAGCATCTGATCCTCCTAAAGGAACTGGAAACAGAGTGGAAACTTTTGAAAAAGTAACAAGACCAGATAATCCTGTATGTCAGATGTAAATAATTCTAATGAGACTCTTGGTTTCTTTCTTTGTTTTCCCTCATTCTGACACTACTTCTGATTATTTTGTTGCTCCTTATATTTGGGCTCTGCATATTGAACTTGCTTGTCAGATTTTTGTCTTCCAGACTACAGGCCATTTACCTACAGATGGTGGCGACCAGTGGATACCAGCCCATGTCCACTCCCCATCCCTTGGACTTGGCTTATGCTCACTTCAGTCAACCTCCCTCCCCAGGACCCCAAGAGGCAGGGACAGCTCTACACCCCTTGTCAGCAGGAAGCAGTTCCAGAAGCCAAGACCTTCTCCCTTTGCTCCAAAAGATTTTGGGTACCATTTGTTTGAGGGGGGAAGGATGGAGTGATGGGACCTGGATCCCAAACAAAAAGACTATGTCTCTGGAAGCAACCCAGTGTCTCATTGGGTTCCTTTGAGAAATTCTTTCCTTGTTGCAACCACATACAGACCTGACCATGTAATTACTCAGGTAAAAACTATCAGTGCAGGCACAGAGGTGATTACTCAAGGGTCTTGTCCCTAGCGCCTGGTCTCTAAGGACCATGCCTCTGGCAAGCATTTGTGTAAACAGAACTACCCTCTCTCTTCTCCTCCAATGTCTGGTATCAACAGAGTTATCTCTGTTGACTCCCTGAATTTTCCCACACATTCTAGAAGTGCACCTATGCCCAAGGCAACTGGACTTCTTGCTTATTCCTTTGAATACTGAGGACTCCTTAATCCCACCCTATACCACCTAATTAGCATACTTGGCACACCAGTCACTGTTCTCTTTCTATATAAGCTTTAGCATCACTCTTGTTGGGTTGCAGGTTCCCTAAGAACTATGCTGGCTGTATCAGTGTTACAATAAAACTTTTGAATTTGACTGGAAGATGGTTTGAGTATGTGAATTCATTCCAGGCCACACAGCCCTGTATCCTGACATTATGGGGGTATCAGCACCCCCAGATCATGTCAGTACCATTTTCAGTTAATACACTATCTTCCTTTTCTTCATTCTTTGTTTCTGTTGATTTTTCCTATAATTAATGAGAATGAAATGTATAATGTCCTCCAAAAATTGTCTTTAATGTATTGCTAGCATAAATAATGCAAACCTATTTAACGTACTATAATTGCCATATGTTGATGGTCCTAACAATGAAATCATGCAAAGAATTAAATTTTTCCAGTCACTTATTTTAGACATTTGATTTGTAGAAAAATTCTCCATAACTAGAAATATTAATTTATAGTATTACATATGCTGATGAATGTTTTAATTCTTCCACAAATTGAAATAGTAGGAACTGAGAAAAATGATAGAATAAATAGTTCTTATCCTCGTGATAATCTTGTAGAGAAGATAAGCTACCCTCTGATTGGAGAGGAGAGCTGTGAACTCCAAAAACTCCATTGAAGGAGGGAGGCCAGGACAGACATCTCATTTCTCACCACAGCTTTGGGAGTTCTCCACCAGGCCCCAGGAATATTATGATTGGGAAAATCTCATCGTCCTGTGAGATTCCATCACCTTGGTAGGCCACCTAACTACTATCCAAGACCCCCATGACTGGAGGAAGAGCCAGGAATTTCAAAGCCTTCATTGAAGGAGAGGGCTTAGCACAGACATCTCATTTCTCACTTTTCTGCCCTGTTAGGGAGTTCTCTTAACTTTTCTCCAGTCCTCAGCACCAGGTAGCTGCCCTAACCTCCAAATTATTGATTTCCTTTGGTGTGCATTGTCTTCCTCCATTAGATTGTAAGCTGCTTGAGAGCAGGGACTATCTGTTTTATATTTATATCTCTGGCACTTGGCACACTGCCTGGCACATAGTAGGTACTTAATGTTTACTAAGATATAAATGTGAGAGAAAGAAGAATCTGAAATGTATTAGAGAATGACAAAGACTACAGAGTCAGTGAAAGCTTTATATAGGTGGTATCGTTTCATTTGGGCCTTGAAAGATAGCTAGAATTTCAGATGGCAAAAAGAGGGCAAGGAAGATATTCCAAACACAGGGAAGAGTGGAAGGAAAGGTATTGAGGGAGGAAAAGTTCAAGGTACATTCAGGAAATGATGGGTAACCTAGCTTCCTGAAACAGAGATGTATGAAGAGGAAATCTATTTTACTTTAGTTTCATTTAAAATGTGAATATTCTACTTCAAGTAGATTGATTAATAACATTGTCAATTTTTAAACTGACTTTGTCAAAAGCTATGAGAAATTAAAATTTTTTGTGGATGCCTTTGATCCATAAATTATACAGTATATGATGGCTGGGACTGAGTCTTCTTTGTTTCCAAATTTCATGTAACAAAATGCCTTGCATATAATACATATTTTATAAATGTGAAATAAAGTGTTGAACTTAATTATTAAAATTTGGGATTATTATGACTGCTATTAAAATATAAAGGAGAAATTGGAAATGAAATGTTGGAACTTGAGATTTCTACTTTTTTTCCCACTTCTATATGAGGTCACAATATAATGTGGTCTATAAATATATATATATATATCTTGGAATGAAATGAAAGTTTTGGAAATTAGAGCTATTTTTAAAAAGGTTAGAAGATGTGGGATTATAGTAATGTTATTCAAGTTCTGATTTATATTCCATTGTTATATGTTAATTATTATCTGAAGAACAAGAAGAGCTATGCTTAAAATTGGTCACAAAACCAAAATTCCGTTTTGGGGTTTTACAACTTTCAAGGTTAAAATTATAAAGGTCTGATGAAAATATTCAGGTATCATTTTTTTTGAGTGTTTTAAAAATTGAATGTTAGGGATGGTGCATATGCATTCTAAATATGAGCAAATATACATACTACTCGAACCTTCCAAAGTTCCTTCTCTTTTTATAATCCTATTATTACTGGAAACTTTTTTTTCTTTTGTAATTTACGATCAACCAAAAATTCCATTTTCATTCATTTTACACACAGATAAAATGTGTAGTAGATTCTTAGTTTTTGAATCAATGAAAATAAAGTTATTATAACCTAAAATATTTTTTAACATATTCTTGATCTAATTCACCCATACTAGTAGAACAACTAAGCTTTAGAACTTTAAAATTAAGGGATTTGAATGGCCTAGGTAAGCTTCAAGATTCATGCCTTTATAAGAAAAATCATCTGTTAACCAAACAAAATATTCTGCTATTTTTTTTTTACCTTAAGAGAAATGGCATGTAAGTTAGTACTTAAGTTTCCGTAAATATCCAACAGGAAATTCTGTAGGAATGCTCATTACTTCCTTTTCTTATTTTACATTTAGCTTTATTTCTGTCATTCAATAGTATGAAGAGAGATTGTTGATTACTCAAACTCTCTTTTTCCTTCATATTTTCAAAATCTTCATCTTGAGCTGCTTCTTTATCCTCTGTTTCTACATATTCTGATCCTTCCTCTCCATCTAGAGCATTCTGGCCATCTTGACTGCATTCTTCCTCCTCTTCTCCTTCCTCCTTTTTCTCACTTTCTTCCTCCTCGCCATTTCATCTTCATAATCTTCTAATTGTCCTTCTTGGCTGCTTTCTAACCCTTCTTCTTCCTGATAGTTCACACATGAATTGTCTGGACCCATCAATGTTTTATCTTCGATATGTAAATTTCCCTGAGTTTTCTTTTGATGTGACTGTTGAGGACTTTTATTTCTAGAATCCTTGTCATCTTCATGAAATGGTGATGAGTGTGGGAGGGACAGAGGGTGAACAAACATGGAAATAAGGATATGAACTATAATTATCTGATCAATACCCAGAAGAAAAGACATCATCTGTTTGTAACTCATGAGACCTTTGTCAGTATTAGGGTAGTTAGAGGGAGAAAATTATATGTATGTATATGTAGATAGAGGGCACAGTGTGAGTTGAAGATGAAGGGATAGCTGGAGAATAAAATTAAAGGGTGAGAAAGGATTATACTGGGAGGAGAAAGGACAAGGTAGAATAGGGTAAATTATCTCACATGAAACAGACAAGAAAAGGCTTTTACAGTGGAGGGGAAATGGGGGGAAGGTGAGAGTGAGTGAGTGAATCTTACTCTCATAGCATTTGGCTTGAGGAAGGAATAACATACACACTCAATTGGGTATGGAAATCTATCTTACCCTACAGGAAAATGGGGGGGGGTGGAGGGGACAAGAGAACAGGGGGATGATAGAGGGGAGGGCACATTGGGAGAGGGGGTAATCAGAAGGAAACACTTCTGAGGAGGGATAGGGTCAAAAGAGAGAATAGAATAAATGGGGGTCAGGATAGGATTAAGGGAAATATACTTAGTTTTTCACATGACTACTATGGAAGTGTTTTGCATGCCTACATGTGTATAACCTGTATCGAGTTGCTTGCCTTTTCAATGAGGGTGGGTGGGGAGGGAGGAACAAGAAAATTCGGAACCCAAAGTTTTAAAAACACATGTTAAAAAATCATTTTCTCATACAACTGGGACACAAAAAATACAGGAAATGGGGTATAGAAATCTATCCTGCCCCACAGGAAAATAGAAGGGGAAGGGGGATAAGAGAAGGGGAGGAGAGATAGAAGGGAGGGCAGATTAGAGAAACAGGTATACAGAATGCATGCACTCTTGGGGTGGGGGGAGGGATGAGACGGGGAGAAAATTTGGAACTCAAAATCTTATGGAAGTGAATGTTGAAAACTAAAAATAAATTTTTTTTTTTAAAAAAAGAAAAGACATCATCTGGGAAGGACTTAAAAAGAAAACAAGTGAGGGATGGGCAGGACGGGGGAGCACTGGGCTTGGGATGAAGGCTTAGGAAAGGAATCTGTCATATCTTCTTTTTCACTATCTAATTGATTGTGCCCAAGAAAAGTTCTGTATTCTGTATTGACAGTGCTACTCTTTTCCTCTACTGTATTAAAAACAAAGAGTACATAGTAAATCTGTCATTTCAAGGCAATAAATAATAACGTAAGGGTGGAAATTCCTCAAATAGCTTATTGTTTTTCCTTATTTGCTAAGAAACATTTCTTGGGGAGTTTCTGCCAAAAAGGTGATAAGAATAATGGGTATCAATTTCTATAAAATATTAATGTTTAATAGTCCACATTTCTTTGAAGTTTGCTATGGTAATATATTTAATCTGATGATTATATAGAAAATAAAATCTTCTGGACTATTTTGTTGTGTGATTTTATTCTTCAATAATTTGTCATATCATTGAAAAATGCTAGGTTTTAGAAATTAGTATTTTGATGTATCACCCAAATCACTACTTATAACAGAAAGTTAGTCTCTTCTCTACTCTTCTTTATGTATTCTGCAATAGTAAAAATTTGTCTGAGGTACTTCTTTTGTTAAAACTAAAGGGAGGAAAAGACACCTGACTACAGATTGGGGAAACTTGAGAAATGTTGATGTCAGGCTCGCTTTTTCTAGGCCTGGTTGTTGGGTTCACTCATTACACTTGACACTTTCAACAAGAAGAAATCAGAGGTTTCTGTTAGGAAGAGGCCACTAAACCAAAAAAAAAAAAATACAGGCTATGAGAACTTCAGTTCATGCAAGATCTTAAGTGTCTTTATTGAAGATCTTGCATTCAGGTCTCACATCTTCATCTAAGGACCAGAACTCCTGAATACGTACTGAACATCAACTGCAAACCGTGTCTGATTCTTTGAACTTTTTTGTGTTATATGTATGTGCTTGGCTAGGAAAAACTGTGAAGATACTGTCTAATGGTGGATATTTTAATATGTACCATTCATTGCTTCTGAGTCATTGCCCAAAATCAAGTATTATATACATCTAACTAAAATACTCCCTGAAACAGAGATTCTTTACATTTTTGTGTGTTATAGGCTATTTGGCAGTCTAGTAAAACCTATGGACCACTATTCAAAGAAATGTGTTGAAGTGCATGAATAAAATACATATGTTCAAATAGGAGACCAATTAAAAATTAAAAATCATGCAGCCACACTAAGTGGGACCACTACAGATTTATGGTATATAACCTCAATTTGACCTTTACTGCTTCTAGGCAATCCTACCGTACCCCCCCTTATTAATTCGCTGTCCCACTTTCCACAGCTTCTCTCTCCTACCTTTTCTTCCCCTCTCAAACCTTCCATGGTTCCCTCTTTCCCCATACTTTCAGCTGAGAAACTTGCTTCATATTTTGTAGAAAAAATAGAGGACATTTGACACGAGCTCCCTCTTCTCCCCTTTTCTACATCTCCTATCACTAAGGCATCTGCCTTCTGCCTCCTTCATCCCTATATCACATGATGATGATACTCCTTTCCAAGTCTGAGCCCTGAGACAGGTGATCTCATCCCATCCCATCTCCTCCAAAAGATTTGCCCCCCTCTCCCACTGATGCTATCATTTATTTTTAATCTCTGCCATATAATTTGTTGTTTGCTGTTGCCTATAAACATATTCATGTCTCCCACATACTGAAAAGACTCTCACTAGATCCTTCCATCCCTAACATCTCTCTTCTGTCCTTTGTAGTGCCATCAAGCATTTATTTGCATAGTTTCATTGTTTGCCTTTAAAATTTAAGATTTGTGTTACAATTATGCTCCCAAAATGTAATGTAAGTCTCATGGGATCCTCTGAACAAAAATATTATATAAATGTATCTCATTATCACATAGAATCTTTAAGAAAGTAGATTATGACATATAGAAACGATAAATTTTTTAAAGGCAGAAATTCTAAACACAACCTTTACAAATCATGCCACAATAAATTGTAATCAATACTTGGATCATGAAATTATATAGCTTAGAAAAGATACTTATTTAGCACTTATTATATGTCAGACACAATGTTAAGTGCTCAGAACACAAATACAAGCAACAGGAAACGCAGCCCCTCTCCTTCAGGAGCTTAAATTCTAAGGAGAAAACAGTACAGAAAAGGAAGCTGGAAGAGGAGCAAAAGGAAGTAGTAGGGTGTGGGTGGGTGGGAATGGCAGAAAATTAGTCTAAAGAATAGGGGGCTAAACTGGGTTAGAAATGGTATTTTCAGCAATCTCTAGCAAAAGATTACAATTTTTGGTGGTTATGGGAACTTTACCCCCTATTTGTTTTTGTCTATGTTTATTGAGACAAACTAATTAAAAAGGCACAAACATAGGGTATATGTTTACATGGACATTATAACAAACATATACATTGAAAGTGGATGTGTTGCCTTCCTGCTAAATAGAAAGTTCCTAAACTTTTATATATACAAAAGTTGTACCTAACCCCTTATTTCTGATATGCTCAATGCTTACACATTCTAGCTATTGACTTTTGTGCCATTTTCTAGGAATGTGACCTTCACACAATTGAAGATCCACTATATCTGATACATATCTCTAAATCTGGTAAAATACCTCCAAATGG